TGACAAGTCGGGGACAAAGCTGTAAAGACGAGCCCTGGGTTTGGGGAAGGAGCAGCCCAGATAAGCCAGGGTGGGGGGCACCCACCCCCAGCCACGTCCTGCACCCCAGAGCCGTGGCAGAGACTGCACAGGGAGGCCACCTGTGGATGAAACTGCCTTTATTGAGAAAAATGCTTTGCTACAAATACGTCATCGATTTGATTCTTCTTCAAAAAACAGTACGTCTCGTTAAAAGTTCTAGTTATGCAAAAAGTCGCGGGTAACACACTTGAGGAGCACGGCCGGCGGTGCGGTGGGATCCCCGGCACAGCCCGGCCGGCAGCGGGCAGAGCCAGACCCGACCCCGTGCAAAGCAGGGAGAGGCAGGAGCTGCCCGTGCAGCGCAGCGCCTGCCTGCGCCCTCGCAGCCTGGGCCTTAAAGTGCTTTACTTAAAGCAGCTGTTGCTGCCCCTGCTCTGGCGTTGTGGGGCAAAAAGGAAGAGGAGGAGGAAGGAAAGAAGGGGACAGAGAGGTTAATAGCGCTGTCCCAGAGGCAGGGAGCTCCCTGCAAGTCACAGCTCTGATGGAGGCTGCTCTGGGACCCCAGGGTCCCAGCTGCGGGACAGGGAAACCCTCCTGGGTCCCTTTCGGGAGACGCCAGTGCTCTCCGTCCCACCAGGGACATCCCCCGGGCTGGGCAGGTGCCAGCAATGCTGTGCTGGCAAGTGAAGACCCCATCCCTCCTCTCTAGCCCGGCTCGAGGAAGGGGAGCGGAGCAGCTCCAGCCCCTTCCCTGCCCTCTGCCAGGGGAGCGGATGGTCTCTGCACGCTCCTCGTAGGGCTGCCGGCGGCACGGGGGAGCTCACAGCCCCAAAAAACACCCAGTACTATTTAAATCAAAAGTAAAAAAACAAGACAGTATTGCTAGAGCAGAGCTGGAGCTGGAGCCAGGTCTCGGATAAACCACGGAAGGGCACTTCTCCGAGCAGGGACACGCAGAGGGATTGCTCTCCCACACCTCTTCTCTGCAAACCCTTGCTGGAAGGTGGCACGGCAGGTCTGCAGGTATCGTGAATCACCACCTCGCCGCAGTTCCTTCACCGAGAGCCTTGGGCTGATCCCGTCGCCGGCGTGACCCCAAAGGGTGGCAGGGTCCCAGCACAAAGCTCCTCTCCCCCAGCACCAGCGACGCCCCTTCAGATGGGACGCGACTTCTGCTGCGCAGGGGGGCCGTGCTCGGGCTGGCAGCAGTCCGCCCAGGGCCTGGCGAAGGAGATCTCCCTTCCACCCTCTCCCAGCCCAGCCCAGCCGAGCAAACTCCACCGGCAGCAGGCAGGACAGAGAGGAAGGGGACCGGTATGGGGGACAGGTCACCGGGATGCTACGGAGCATCTCTCAGATCAACATCTGCCCAAGCGTGCCCTATTCCCAGGGAGAGACCTGGGAAAGGGAGATGCAATCCCCTGTTTCAGGGGGACAAGATGCTCGGCGTTGGGGATGGGATCCTGCACGGGCAGACGTCCCTCCCGCACACCCATCGCCCTGACACAACCCAGCTGCTCCGCCCCGAGTGCCAGCACGCCACAACTAGCCTGCCTGCTCCCTCACCCCGCGCTCGCGGACAGAAAAACCACCGCTCCAGCTTACGCCCTGCCCACGGCCACATCCAGCACTGCCACGGAGCTCTGCCTGCAAGGCTGAAGCCATCCCGAGCCCGACCACGCGTCCTGGAGAGGGTCAGCAGCTCAGAGAGCACGGCCGGCCAAGCAGCTGTTGGAGAACGCAAGCGGTGTTGCTGCTCCTCGAAAAGGCAGCCCGGCGAGCCGCTCGGCACCCGCTCCTCCAGCCGACAAGGTGCTGCTCTGACCCGGCCTCTCCTGCATCACCACCCGCCTGCGGAGAAACACGCCGACAAGGGAAGGGAACGGCCCAGAAATAACCAAAGAGGACACCCACATGATTCCCACGGCCTCCGCAGAGTCCCACCCGCCGGCCCGGGGTCCAGCTCCTGCCTCCCGCCCGATTTCAAATCCACAGCATGTTCGTTTGTTTGGGTTATTTTTAAAAAATATACTTTCTCAATAATGTTCCATAAAAATACTCTGGTCCCCGGTGACGGATATTGCAGTGTGAAGACTAACAGCTTCTGTTCCCGCTCTATAAAACGTGGAAAAGGCATCACGCCGATTAATGTAGAAAAATGCAAGAACTCAGTATCACAAGAGCCGGTACAAAACGAGGAAGGCGAGAGTTTCACTGGATGCCAGACGCCGTCCCCGCGGACTCCTCCGAACCCACTGCCATCACGGGGCACACGAGGGCAACCGTCTCGCCCCGGGATTCAGCCTGGCCTGCGCGGTAGCAGGCAAAGGAGGCAGCTCCTGCCTGCAGCGCAGGGGACGGGACAGACCGACGTCTCTGGAAATAGCCTCGTAGGGTTTAAAAAAAAGACGCTCCGTGCCATTTTCTTCCTTTTCAAAAAGGACGTGGATGATTGCAGTTTCAAACTGGGGCATTTCTGCGTAAAATGCATCATAGTTTTACCTACCTATTCAATTGCAACAGAGAGCATGAAGACAGATGGTGCCAAAAAGCATCTAATAATAAATAGATCTGGATACAGGTATACGCTCCGTATACGGATATGAAATGCCTAACCGAGGAACGATCCCAGCCCTTCGGCGCCGACTCCTCTTCTCCTCCCAGCAGCGGACGTTTCTCCTCACTCACCGGTCCAGTGCGACGCTAAAGAGACTCCACCTTCTTAAACGAGGTGGCATTTGCCCAGAGAGGAGAGGGAAGAGAGGTGGCAGCAGGTCTCCGGGGGTGCCGGGGGGTTGACGAGCTCCGCACCTCCCCGGCAGGAAGGCCGAGTGTGCAAAAGGAGACGGGGTGCGACGGGGGTCCGAACCGATGCTCCGCAGTCACCCTCAGTTCTCGGAGAGCGACAGCGCCAGGGCAGCCTGCAACGCTGCCTCCTCGTCGATGTTATAGTCCTAAAAAAAAAAAAGAGAGGGGCGGGCTGTGGGGGGGTTAAGCCTCGCGCCCACA